AGTAAGCCTGGGATCTACTTTTTAATTATAAGTTCAGTCAATTCTGACTCACTTGTTCTTTGAACTACACAGGATAACATCAAGATTCAAGGATGTCTGGCTCTCTTGACCTCTACGTTGTTTCTGATCCAAAAGGAGTAAAATTGGGGTACACAAACAATACACGCACAAAGACTTCCCACAAGAGGGGTAGCCTAAAAGGAGAATGAACAGGACTCTACAAAGAAAGGGGCAAGTTCTTACATACAAAGGAAGGTACAATGAACAGGGACCTTCGGGTGGGACTTTCAGAAATGGAACAATGCTCAGAAAAAACATGGGCAAAAGCGAGAGAAAGCCCCAGATGTCAACCTAAGCACTAGGGGATTTATTTGGTGCTAGCACTAGCGGCTAGCTAATGGTTTTGAGGTGGGAAATGAAATAACGACAGACACATTTTCCGGAAGAGTTCATCCATGAAGCAAGTGGTACTTGAATATCAGACATTGGGAAGGCTGGCCTATGGCTATCTAATCCCAGAGACACAAATCAGAATACCAAACTAAAAAGGGAGGAATGGTAGGTACATCTATTTTTTCAATTTTTAAAAAATTTATTAATTGTATTTTATGTGTATGCATATATTGCCTGCATGTAGGTAAGGGCACCCATGTCATGCAATGCCTGCGGAGGTCAGAAGAAGCTGTTGGATCCCCTGGGACTGGAGTTATAGACAGTTGTTAGCTGCTATGTGAATGCTGGGATTCGAACCCAGGTCTTCTACAAGAACAACCAGTGTTCTTAACTGCTGAGCCATCTCTCCAGTCCTGGAATGGTACATCTTAATGATAAACTGCATATAGGGTAAAGAATCAGCTCAGTTATATTTTTCACCCATTAAATCCAAGCCATCACTATGAGATCCATATCACTTTTCGGAACTTTTCCTTGGGCTGAATATGGAGATACAGCTCAGTGGTAGAGCACCTGCCTAGCATGAGTGAAGCTCTGGGTTCAACCCTCAGTAGTGGAAAGGGGTGCAGACAGAGAGGGAGAGAAAGATTGAACTTTTTCTTATATAGTTGGCTAGGCACAGAAATCATGCAGCACTCAATATAAAACATAGCCCGGGAATGAATAAGATGTGAGTAAACAGGACTCTGAGTAGCCCAAATACAGGTTGTCTCATTTAAATATCAGGAATTGGGAACTGCAGAGATGGTTCAGCAGTTAAGAGCACACACTGTTCCTGCAGAGGACCTGGGTTCAGTTCCCAGCACCCATGTCTGGCAGCTTACAATGGTCTATAATTCAAGTTCCAGGAGATCCAACATCTTCTGGCCTCCATGGGCACCTATACATACATGGTGCACATAGACTCACGTAGGCACACATATACATATAAATAAAAATAATATATCTTTAAAAAATATTAAGGAAAAAAACCCTGCATTATATGAAACGTTATTCAGAGCTACCCAATCTCATTTTACACAGAATCTTAACAAATGTTAAGTATCCAATTTCCAAACTCATAGCAGTTTGGAGGAAAACTTGTAAGGGGAAAAGAGCCATCTATAGGTCTGAGGGTCAAGAGAAGAAATAAATGCCTAAAAAAGAGCACAGGATTACGCTAAGTTCGCTGCAGCTGTTTATTGATGACTACAAATGATCCCAAGGGAAACAAAATTGATGAGGGTCTTCTTTAATACTCCAAATACCTTCTAAACTCTTCTTTAAGCATTCTGTAAGGCGAAGTACTTTAAAACATGCAATAATTAGCTGGTTAAAAGAGACAGTGTTTAAAAAATGGTTCGTACATGCCAGCCTAACACTTCTCAACAACTACCACACCATAGTCAACAAGTAAGGGCAGGAAGACCTGTTTCATAACACATTTTGAAGGTGGCAGAGGGCTTTCATAAGCCAACACTGAAGAATATGCCCCACTGATCAAGTTTAACTTGGGGAATTGTTTCCTGGTGACTGTGCATTTGAATTTCATCTTCATCCTCATCCTCAACAAAAAGTAATGTTATTAAACTAGTCCTAAATACACACCCGTAACTTGAGCTACTGAAATTAGGCCACATCCTGTGACCTGCTGTGTCCTGAAGCAACAGGCTGTGTGACAACTTTCAAAGCATGCAGCAACACATGAAGGGCTCTGACTCTGTTACTTTGTTCACCAATCCTTATTAATGTTTATTATGAATATTGTTTTTTCTAAAGACCTCATCTATTTTGTGTATATGTGCGCAAGTGTGTGTGTGTGTATGTGTGTGTGTGTGTGTATGCCCATGCTGTGTGTAGGTCAGAGATTGAAGTCAGGTGTCTTATGTTTTGAGAGAGTCTCTCACGGAACTTAGAGCTCATAGATTTGCAAGACTACCTGGCCAGTAAATCCCCAGGTTCCTCCTGTCTTCAATTCCCTGCAATGAGATTACAGATGCACAATTGCACCCAGCTTTCTAAGGTGGGTGCTAGGGTTCGAACCTGGGATCTCTTGTCTACTCAGCAAACACTTTACCTACTGAACCATCTCCCTAGTCCTTCATGTATTTTATAAACATTTTAAAAGGCTGGGCATGGTGGCACACACCTTTAATCCCAGCCTTTGGGAGGCAGAGGCAGGCGGATCTCTGTGAGTTCAAGGCCAGCCTGGTCTACATAGTGAGTTCTAGGCCAGCTGGGGATACAGGGAGACCTTATATCAAAAAAGTTAAAAAATATATATATATATTTTTAAACATTATCTTGGGGCTGGAGCAATGGCTCAGAGGCTAAGAGCACTGGGTGCTCTTTCAGAGGACCTGGGTTCAAATCCCAGCACCCATATGGCGGCTAACCAGTTCTAGGGGCTCCGACACCCTCTTCTGACCTCCACAGGCAGTGCGTGGCACAAGTGCACTTACATGCAGGCATAGCACATGCAGGCATAGCACTCATACACATAATTTTTTTTAAACATTATCTTCATAGGAGAAATTTAGTTGTTAACCGACTCAAAGTTATGCTCACATTTATGATTAAGTTTACAATATAGTCCAAGGCTATGGATTCTATACCTTTATAGAGAGAACAAGAAGTATACCACGCAATCATTACCAAAGAAGCGATGACTTTAACGAACAGAAAAGGCATCTTTTTAAAGCTGTAAAATAAAATGTCCTTTAAGTCTGGAAAGATAAAACAGCTGAATTAACTAGGCCCATTGTGTTTCCCCAGCACAGCAAATGACAGTAAAATCAAGGCTCACCTGAATGCAATTTCATCAAATGATCAGGTGATATGAATATATCAAAACTTAATATGACGGTACTTCAAGATGGGTCAAATATGCTACATGTTATAAACATCTGGCCAACTGACATACTGAGCTATACCTGGCTGTCCCAATCCCAGCCCAAATTACCCACTGTCTTTGAATAGCACTTGCTCTCTAGAAGCTTATGATATCAGACACTGACTAATCAAAGAACTGCGTCTCAGAATAGCATCTTGCTAACCACAAGTTGTGACCCATAAATCAATTTCGTGGAATTCAGTCAGCATTTTTTCTGATGAAAGAGAATGGAATGTAACAGAATGATCAGAAGGCACTGGAAACGGGTAAATAAACACTGATGTATGAGGGGGACACTCAGGAGGCTGAGGCAGGAGGAGTGCAGTGAGTTCCAGGCCAGTCTGGGATACACAGTGAGTTCAAGGCAAACCACCCCAAGGTCTTGTCTCAAAAAACAGCAAACAAGCAGGCTAGAGAGAACGCACAGTGGTTAAGAGCACCGTCTGCTTTTGCAGAGGGCCCAGGTTAGAGTCCCAGCACCCACATGGCAGCTAACAACTGCCCATAACCCCAGTTCCAGGGAATCCAAGGCCCTCTTCTGACGCCCTCTTCTGACCTCCATGGGCATTGCACGAGCAGGTGCACTTACCTACATGCTGGCAAGACACTCATACACATAAAATAAAAATTACAAAAATAATTTAAAAACAAATGAAACATTTGCGAATTTTTTCATTCATATGTGGGTATGCACTAGCTTGTAACGTGTGTTAATGTACGGCATCACTTCATTTAAGTTTGAAAGCCACTGCCCCAGGTCTAAAGCCTAAGGACCTTCCAGAAAGAAGGTGAATAATCATCCTGAAACCTCAGCTCCTGCTCAAGCTATCTTTGCTACAGACAGAAATCTATTCAAGCTCTCCTTGGCAGGGGGTGGGGATGGGGTGGGGGTAGACAGACTGAAACAGAGACAGAGAGGCAGACAGAGAGGGGACAGCCCAGCCAAGCCCTGAAGGCCTTGCCAGCTTCTCCAACAGTCCTAAGGCAGCGCCTACAACTAGTGTAGCTAAGCAACTTAGGAGTGAAGCGCCTCCCCCATCCACTGACAGTCAACAGTTCAACTCTTCCAACCAACTTTTCCTCAACTACAACTTGTGCACTCGCTGTGTGACAGGAGTAAACCTTCTCCCCCTCCCCAAATCCCAGAGTCCTCTTAATATAGGACTTAGGTGTCTGCAACCCGACTCTCAACGCTCAGCTTCCCACATATCCTTTTCCCTCATTCCAAAGAAGCCAGCACACAGCGCACCCCTATCTGCCCCCAATCTTATTCTGACTGGGGGCAAATTTATGCTCCCCAAAGTCCTATCAAACTCCATCTTTTTATGGGTCCCAGAAGGAGCAAGCCTAATGACCCAGGCCTGGGAATGGTTGTTCTTTGCCCATCAAATCACCAGGAGGAAATTCCTTTCTTTCTCTCCTTTTTCTATTTCTGGATTCAGTGATCCAAAGTCAAGTCTCCCAGCCTTTCCCAACCTGGGTGCATCTGCCCATCCCCCGGGCCTGGGGATGCTGGCAGCATTCAGGCTCCTCCCGCCTGGGCCCAGGCTCCCGGCCCCTCAGCCCCCTCCTCCCGGGCTGTCCCATGCTGGACGTCTGACGCCCACTGCCCGGCTTCGGAGCGCCGGACATCGGGCCTCGCGCCCCGGCGGTGCGGCGGCTGGGCTGCACTCACCCCTCGGCCCGGGAGGCGGCGGAGCTGCCGCGGTGGCTCCTCGGGCTGCGCCTCGCCTCCGCCCGCCCGGCCACCGCCGTCGCCGCCGCCGCTCGGCCTCGGGCCTGCTCCGGGCCCGGCCCCGGTCCGATTCACCTCGGCCCCCTCTCCGGCCGGCAGAGCCCGGTGTCCTGCATTGACCCGGAAGCAGCTTTCCAAGACCCAACAACAACACGTGACCCCGCCGCACGTGTCACGTCCGCTGCGTGATTGGGAAAGGGAGCGGGAGGAGCTGAGCCTCCCTAACCAAGCTGCGGTTGCCATGACTTCAGGGATGGTGGTACCCGCCTAGAAACGCACCTTGTCTGCTGGTTTTTCTTATCCGTTTCCTAGCGGAACACCCCTGCGTGCAAAAGGAGAATACAAATGCTCAGTTCCAGATGGAAGAGGGCAGGGACACCGCTAATGTTCTTTAGAGAAAGGAGCATTGGACGGGACGTGGCCGGATGCACTTGGTATCTTGGCCTGACTCTGTCTCTAATTTGCAATGTGACCCTAATCGAGTCACTTCCTGTGTCTTGGTTTACTGTTCTCATCTATAAAAGCAGGAAAGCATGCTAGGTGATTCCCGAGGCTGCAGTCTAATAAGATCTGGACTCTTCTTATCCATTTGGACATTGGGAAACCAAGTGATCTGCTGAAGACCACCCAGTTAGTAGAAATGAGCAGGTTAAGACTTGAATCCAGGTCAGCTTGGCTCCAAAGAGCACTTCACATTATGTCGCGCATAGCTCAGCTCTGTGCTCCTTACACCTGGCTGTTGGGTTGTTTACTTGTGTGAGTCTTTATTCCTTTCTTCTGCAGGACCATCCATGGAGTAGGGATGGTACATGCTGATGCTGAAGAGGATGCAGCCTTTCAGGGCTAGGTGAGCTAAAATTCTAGGAGTTGAAGAGGTCTCAGAGCATAAAATGCATGTGCTTTGTCAAGGAGGAAGGTGAGGATATGTCATGGTCTTGCTCATTGGCTCCAAGAAAGAGGAAAAAAAAAAATTCTTAGAGGAGACACAGTGCAGCCTTCCATCCTCAGTTCCTGGGAACTTTGTCATTTACTTTCGTTTGATCTTCACCCGCGGATGTGGCTTGCCAGGGCTGGAGGGAAACATCAGAAGGAACTGGTTAAGGAAAATGCTCAGAGAACAAAGGGGACAGTGAGTCAAGCAGTGGGGAGTTAGGGTGCTCAGATAGGTAATTGTCCCCTGCCCTGGAAACACTGACACCTTAGAGAAGTAATGACTTTGAGGGGCTGGAGTCATTGGCAGGACCAGAGCTAAGAGTAGTGTCAGTGGAGAGGACCAGAAGGGCAGAGTGTATACAGAGGAGGAAGAACTATGGGCACTTCTTCTGGATAGTCTGTTGACATACCTCCACCTGAATACTCTGATGACTAACTTGCTTAAGAGCCCAAATTCTTTATAGGAGACCCAGGGCCGCTTACCCAGTGGAGACAGTCAGAACCCCCTACAAAGTTTAGAATCTTATAAGCAAACAGGGGAAAAGTAAGAACTGTAAGCCATTGCCATTAGCTGATACTATACATACATGAATATTGGCTGTGAGCGGGGATGACTGCTTGAGTATTTCTTTGCTTCCTTCCTATATCCCTGAGTCACTTTTCCATCTCTGTTCCTATCTGTCTCCTTAGAGAGCAAACTCTAAACACAAGATTAATGTTTCTACCCATCTGTTGATCTCCCCTCAACAACTAGAATCCTCTTTCTAAAACTCAAAATCAGATTGTATCACTCCTGGAGCTTCCTGAGATACCCAGTGGCTTTCAGGATGCAGTCCACAATCATTATGCTTTTTGGAGTTATTTTGAATCTTCTGACTTTCCCAAGCTATTTCCTAACCTCATCTCTTGCCTGGCCACTGTTATTCTGTAGCTACTCCATTCAGCCCGCTAAACATGAGCTGTATGTGGCTATTTAATTTAATATTAACTAAAATCAGGGGACGACAGATGTAGCTTAGTCGGTATAATACTTGGCTAGCATGCAGCAAGCCCCGGGTTCAATCTTCAGTACTACATAAACCAGGTGTAGTGTTGCACACCTAATTACCAGCACTTGAGAGGTGGTAGCAGGAAGATCAGGAGTTCAAGGCCATGCACAGTGAGTTTAAGACCAGCCTGGGTGACATGAGACCCTGTTTCAAAAATAAAAATAAAACCAAGGGTTAAGGATTTAGCTCATTTGTAAAGACCTTGTCATGCTTCCCAGGCTCTTGAGTACAATCCCCAATCTCTCTCTCTCTCTCTCTCTCTCTCTCTCTCTCTCTCTCTCCGAGGCTCTGCTCATTGATTTTCACCCTATTTTTGTCTCTGCATACAGAGTAGGCAATTTCTATTTTGTGTCTTTAAACTACAGATATTCTTCCTTCCTCTTTTATCTCTGCTATTGAACCAATGAAGCAAGTTTTTAAATTTTCGTTATAACAATTTTTAACTTTAAAATTTCCATTTGATTCTTCTTTATGTAACTTGTTTATTTACTCAGAGTTTCTATTTTATTTATTTTAGAAGCTTTTGCCATTGTTCCTTGCCAAGTGTTTTAAAAATCCTTACCAAGTAATTCTCTCTCTCTCTCTCTCTCTCTCTCTCTCTCTCTCTCTCCCCACACACACACACACACACACACACACACACACACACACACACAAGCCCTGCCCTGAAAATTAAGTCAAATTAAGCTTTCCGCAGTCATGTGACACTAGTATCATTTCGAGTGCTCAGTCACCACACGTGGCTAATGGTTATCACACTGAACAGTTCATGTATGGAATATTTGTGTCCTCACAGAAACTTCTAGTGGGCAGTGATGCTCAGTACCAGCAAATCTCCATGTAGCATACTTTGTAGGAATTCCTTCTGTAAACTACTTGATTGAAACATTCTTCTTCAACCTCTTTGAGAAGGAAAATTGTGATGGCAATGAAACTCATTGACAACAGGATGGTTGCTAAGAACTTTGGACCATGAAAGGGCCCAAGATAAAACAAGAAGAAATAAGAAAAGAATAAGGAGAGTAATCAGGAATCTGCCTTCTCCCCTGTGGTTTTATACTGGGCCATTGAAATCTTTGCCACCTGCTACATTCTTGTGATCTTTTGTAGCCATGCGTTTATGTGTAACCACTTGCTTAATTGTCATGTATATGATACTTGCTTGCTTAAACTTTGGCATATGAATTGACTATAAATTTCCCTAAAAACTTGAGCTGGGGGCTGGCACTGTTACAGTGTGATCAGGAATGTATGTCAGCCTGCCAGCATGAATAAACTCTCTCTCCTTCACCTGGACTGGCTGTTGGTCTCCCGATTTCCAGAAGTTCCCACAACAGAAATCACAGGATTGCTTCTTTGTTACAAGCATGCTTACATGGAGACTTACCATGGAAGCAGGAGTTAGAGCATGACCTAACTCATCAATTCCCTGTCATTTATAAAGAACAGTCATTTAAGAAAAAGTAGACATTGAGGCAAGGTGAAAGGAAGAAGGAACAGAAAGGCAATTTTCTAATCATTTTATTACAAATTATAAATTATTTGATCACTTTGGCCTGCAAACAGCAGCTTAAAATGATTTAACCTAATAATAAGAAAAATTTAGGCCAGATGTGTGGTATATACTTGTAATACTAGCACACTCAGAAGGATGAAACGAGAGGATCATCATGAGTTTGAAACCAGCCTGGGCTATAGAGAGGCACCCTGTCTAAAACAGAAGAGAGAACAAGAGAGAGAGAGAGAGAGAGAGAGCCTGATTTAGTCAGTTCTAACAAATTCCTTGTCATTGGAATAAGTTAAGTAAATATAGAATCTATTCTGGCAATGCATAATTAATTCCTGGATCAATTGGACCAGTTGGCCAGTCGATCTAAGATTCATCTAAGTAGTTCTCTGATTCTGGAATTGCCCTGCCCCAAGACCAGTCATAACTGCTTTATGAGTGTTTACTGTGCCAGATGCTGCTGGAGGTATTTTACATCGATTATTTCCTTTAATCCTCAGAGTGAGCTCATGCAGTACATTTGGTACCATCAGATCTATCAAGTGAGACTCAGCTTAGATAATGTGCCCAGGAACGTACAGACAGTAAATGGAGAGGAGGCCAAATTCATATTTAGGTCAGTCTGACATGGGAGTCTAAGTTCATAATAGCCTGGTAATGATAGGCTAGAGTTCTTTTATGAAGGCTCAGCCATATATTTCATGTCTTTTTGATTCAGCAGATTTTTATTTTATAATTATTGTATGTCTATTCTTTGACTTAGCTAGGTGGTTTGGGGCAAACAAATATGCATCAGTCATGCCTATTACAATGTGGTTGGAAAGATAATATGCATAGAAAAATGGGTGCAGAGCAATTAAAGGACGGAAGGTTTTTCTTTGTTTGATTTTGCTGTTACTATTTTTGTTTTGTATTTTGAGTTATGGTCTTACTCTGTAGCCCAGGTTGGCTTCAACCTTACAAGTCTCCTACCTCAGTTTCCAACATGCTAGGATTACAGATGTATGGCACGACATCTGGCAGGGATGTTAGTTTTTTAAAGGGTGTTGCATTAGCAGCTGCATGTTTTTCTCCTGCAGGCAACAGGGGAAGGCTAGAATCATAACACAATGCAATGTATCATTGTGGAGATGGAAACACAGGAGGAAGAAAAACGCAGCTACTTGACTTGAAAGTATAAGTGGTTGAGAAAAAAAAGTCTTTAATATCTGCTTTGGTTTTTCCACTAGCCAGCTGTGTCATTTGAACTCTTTTGGCCTTAGACCATTAACTACTAAGTAATCAAGATTGGATAAATTACTAGCATGAAACACTCAGAATTATATGTAATATATTGTGTATATTATATTGTATGTGTATA